TAAGCTTTAACTTTTCCCAGCATGCCTATGAGAGAAAAGTGCCAATGAGTCTTTTTCTGTTATGAGCTAGTAATCTTCTAAGTATTTATATTCTTTCACAACACTGAAGTGCCAATTATAATACTACCAGGTCAAGTAAGATAACCAACCTGAATTGCAGATTTCCTGGGGTTATTTTTGCAGAGCATGACAACAATCTTTAAAGTCTTTAAAATGTTAAAGACTTTCATTTTCTTTAAGACCAGACTGAGGATCTTCATTACTTAGCATAAAAAGTGAAAAACAGGCCCAAGATTTCATTTTTATTTGTAGAAATGGCATAAGACATGAATGAGATTTTACTCATTAATACTGAAAGGAGGTACATACAGCATTAATCTTTCCCATTCTGATTTTGCAAATGAGGGATGTGTTATTGTCACAAAAGTGGCAAAATTGACACAAACACATAAAAAAGGCATCAACAAGCATAGGAAAAATATTTCTTTCTGAGATATTTGAGATTTAGAAATCTAGGAGATGGAACACATGGCACTCCCACCAAAGGGGCGATTTTCTCTGCTTTCCAAAGGCCCCTAAGATGCTGCGGCTCTTTTCCCCTTCCCCATATCTAACCTGTACACAGAGTTAACTCTGCAACCCACATGATTACACACCTTTGTTGCAATCTTATCTTCCAGGGTCTGCTAATGTTGAGTGAATTAGGTAGAAATGCTAGCAAGTTGACAACTAAATATCCAGTAAGTGATACTGTCCTCAAAAATTTGATGGTAAAATTTAGTGAATGAAGTAATCAAGAGATTAATTGTTGAACTTTTAGAAACAGATTAATATTTACTTAAAATATCTGCAAATGTCTTACTAATATTTTCTTTGAAGGGATGTACTTAAAGTGCAATTTTTTATTCTTTGGATTTCTTCTGAACATGTGAATATTATATTAATTGTTTACAAACTTGATTTTCACTGTTATGTATAATATGTTCTAAAAGTCAATGGAAAAAAATAATTTTATGTATTTATGATAAATTTTAATATTTATCTTATAGAAGACTGCTTTTATCTCGAAGAAAATTCTAAATGTTATGGAACAGTTTTTCAGTCCATACAAAACACCAACAGGTCTCAATTCTACCAGCTCCTAATTTTTGTGTGGTATCAGGTTAGTTATTCATTATCAGTCTTGGTTTCTTCATCATTAAGATTAGGACTATAAGATCCATGTTTTAGGATGACGTGTGATTAAGTTTGGTATGCAGGTAAGCACTTATTCTGTCTTGTGCTTAGCAAGGTCTTAATAAATATTAGTTGTCATTGATATCTGGTTAGTTTAATTACTTATGGAGTTGTAAACCTCATTCTCTCCCTTCTTGTGCTTTTTCTTAGTTTCTGTTCCATGTAATTGTGCCTCGCTTTCCAAAAATTTTATCTTATGGTATCTTCTGGTATCCTTTTGGCTTTTTCCTCAATGATCGCTGTCCAGTCTATTACAAATATATTGCTCAAAAAATGAATTTATATTCTTGATTCAGGTACTCACCCATGATTCAAGCTTCCCTGACTTTCTAGGTAGTAGGAGATTTGAGTAAGTGGATGGTTTTCCTCAGAAGAGGTTAAGGCAATGACAAACATCGTGCCCCTGTTTAATTTATATTCTTTCTCCCTTCTCTAAATTTTTATTTTCTCTTTTTTTCTGTCTTACTATAAATTGTCTGTTCTGTTAATCAAATGAAGACAAAACCTACTCTACCAGAAATAAGCCATATAAATTATATAAATAAATGATAAAGGGAAATGAATCATTGTTCCTATTCTTGCTGAGTTGAACTTTTTGAGACTTTAAGATATTCTAAGACAAGCTCAAGATTTTGGAATTCATCTGTTTTCTAGTCATAAAGTTTCTCTTTAATTTCTTCTCTACATTTTTTTCAGCTGAAATTGGAAGGTTATAAAGATATTCATGCTGGAGCATAAGCCCTGAGAACTGCCACAGTTAAAGTACACATATTCTTTTAATCACTTACATAATGGTCAGTAATTCATAGCTTATTAGCATTCCAAAGTTCTAGCTCATAGATTTACACTAAATTGAACTAAAAATATGTTGTAGAATTGTACTACGGTGCTATGAGTATTTTAGACTTCTAATTCTGGTCAAGATGAAATAACATCTGGGACTTAACCATCTATTTGGATATACTCTCCTACCTGAAACAACTAAAGACCACACAAAATTTATGAAACAATGAAACTCAAGGTATTGAACATGAAGCAATGAAGGACAATGGTCCCTAAAAGATGCAAAATAAATAATATGGACCCTCCTACTGCCTTATTGTATGTCTGGAGAGTTTCCAGGCCTTGGCATAGGTAGAGGGAGCCCATATATATTCCACTGGTCTCCTTATTTGAGGAAATGGAAGTACAGGTCTGGAGAGGCAAAGAAGAAAGAGTAGTAGACAGGAGAATGCTTGAATGAGAGAGGAAATAACAGAGACACATAGATGGCACCCCTCAGGTATTCAGTTGAACGCAAATTGGTGCGTGGAAGTAACAAAACTACCCAAACTTGGGGAAAGATCCCCCTGAGAAAGGTAGAGAAATAGTGCTGGAGCACACACAATGATGAGAATAGTGCCCATTTCCAACAGCCAGAATGGAAAACCTTGTAATTCATTGGTGTTGGTGTTAAGTACTAAAAAGGGTCCTGCCTCAGTAGGAGGCTAAAAAAAATCAAATTTTATCCGAATAACTAGACACTGTTAAAGGTCAAAATTTTTATAGGAATACACAAATATCAACCACCTAAAAAGTAAAATTCACAATATCTTTGTCAGTCAAAAATTAGTAGCATTAAAAGAAGCAGAAAAATAAAACCCAAAATGGGGAAATCAGTTGAAAATCAGAATGACAGAAATTATACAATTCATTATAAAAGCATTTAAATTTTTGTTATAACTACATTCCATATGTTCAAGAAGTTAAGAAGAAAGATCAAGTATGTTTGATAAAGACATGAATGAAAGGGTAAAAGACTCAAATTGAATTTATAGACATAAAAACTAAATTTTCTGAAATTTAAAAAATACCCCATTTGAGGCTATGGTATACTACTCATTTTTTTCAAAAAGAAAAATCAGTGAATTTGAAGATACAGACATATATCATCAAAATTAAATACAGAAAAAAGATGGAAATAAAATAGATTAGATAAATATGGGATAATTTGAAAGTCTTTTTGAGGCTATGGTATACTACTCATTTTTTTCAAAAAGAAAAATCAGTGAATTTGAAGATACAGACATATATCATCAAAATTAAATACAGAAAAAAGATGGAAATAAAATAGATTAGATAAATATGGGATAATTTGAAAGTCACTGAATAAAAATGAAGTAGGGTACAGAAAAATATTTTTTTAAATATTGATCTTTTTTTTCTATGTTAGAAGAAACTGTGAACACAGATCCAAAACAATCACCAAATTCCTAATTTAAGGCAGGTGAAACACACACATGCATACACACACGCACACACACATATCCCTAAACACATTATAATAAAATTAAAACCAGTGGTAAGGGAAATTTTAAGACAATCAGAGAAAAATAATGTATAACACACAGAGGGGCACAGATAAGTTTGATAGTGGATTTTTCATCAGAAACAATGCAAGTGGAGCAGTATCTTTAAGTTATTCAAAGAAACATTATTACATGCAAGTGAAACATTGTCAGCTCAATCCTGTAATTTTTTTACCCAATGTAAATATCTTTCACAAGCGAATACAATTTCTTCAGATGTAAAAGTTCATCACTATTTGACCTGAGCTACAGTAAATATATTAAGAAAGTCCTCTAACCACAAAGATAATGATACTAGCCAGAAACCTCCACCTAACAGAGGATTGTAGAGATATAAAATTGCTATCTACATGGATGAGTATGAAGACACATTTTAGTATTATCTTAATCTAGATATTTGATCATCTAGAAGAAACAATAACCATATGTAAAATATAAAATCCATAGCACTTGCCCAGAAAAGAAGAAATACAATCTCACTATTTAAAGGTTCGTATACCAAAGTAACATGTCATTTGAATAGAGATTGTGATCATATTAAAAATGTATATTATAAACCTCAATCAATTCTTCTTTCCCAATGGAAAAAAATGATAGACTTTTAAAAAATAACTTTTTGGAAGACAATTTTGAAGCATATTTTAAAGAATTTAAATTGCATACATATTTTGGTCTAACTCTTGATCTTTCAGAAATCTATCCAACACAGGCTCATAATATGAGTACCTTTTAATACAGAAATTCATCTTTTTAGGCATTCAGTCTAACAAAAATAGGCATATGGAGAAACATTCCTATTACAGAATATTTGTAAAAAAAGAAAAGTAAAACAAGTTGTAAATAAGCTTAGTTTCTTTCAAAATTATTTAAATAAATTCAGATTTAGTAATTAATGAGATGTCATGCAGACAATAAAAGTACGACATATAACTGTATTTTGATATAGTTCAATGTAATAGTGAAAATAATTCCACAATATATTGTTAAATGAAAAGAATTTAAATTATATGTATAGAATAATCCTTTGTCTCTTAAAAAAATAGAAATGATGCATCTTGGGTCCGCCCAGTAAAATAACTACAAGTATTTATAATAGTTGCTTGTAGTTATTATATCTGGTTAGTGGAATTTCTAAGTTCTTTATTGTTCCAAGGAACCTGGATTAATTTTATAATGATTTTTAAACAAATTGGGTAATTTGCATTTGCATAAAATATTTCTTAAGATTATGACTCTTCTCTTAGTAATGTATTTTAATATCTTCTACATCTTTCAATCAGAAATTTCTTATAATTAAGGGGTGTTTCACATTGATAAATTAGGAAAGATTCTTTTTAAATCATTGGTTTTATTTTTCTTTCAACATGTTACAGAATATATTTAAGCATTAAAGTATTTTTTATTTATCTCCCCGACTACTAGGTATTATTGAGGAATTTTGTCTTGGTATAAAACTTAACTTGCAAATTGTATTTTATTTTCCATTTATTACTTTGGTACTTTTTAGGTAAATTCATAAAACTGATGTTAATGGCATTGCATTTAGTGTGTATGGAAGACCTCTGAACAAGAGGTTAGACACCATTCCATCAACAAATGATCAGATCATCACCCTGCCAGGTCATTCTGTGTCATGTGGGGACTTTGCCTTTTTAACAATCATCTCTAATAACAGCATTATCAGTGAGCTAAGTCATAGTCCTGCTAGTCCATAGGTTCTCTCTTAGCACGAATCAACCCAAAGAGCCTGATGGGATCATCATGAATGTTTTCCTCTATTTCCTGGCTTTCTGGTAAGGAACTCTCTACCAAGTTGGATTTAGTCATGTTGTCATCCATCGCATACAACTGCTTCTCTCTCTCCTTGTCAGATGAATGAGTATTCTGTTTCCTGGGTTTTCTGTACTTCCCCTTGAAGCTATGATCAAGCGAGGCATAGCACATCTGCACTTCAGCAGGAATCTGAAAAGAAAGGTTTGTTAATTTTTCATTGTTCCTCTGTTCTGTAACTTTGTGACTTCTACAAATTTCCATGGCTTAAGAAAAGTAAATTGTTTTCTAGCTCCAGCTACCTCATTTTGCCAAATTTGTTAGTAGGATGATGGAATGAAAATCGATAATCAACTTAAGGCTTTTGAGTTGAAAAAGAATGTTTAGATGAAAATTTTCCTGGATTTTTATTTCTTTCTTACAACCAAAATGCCCATGAAGCTAGTCACAGTGTTTGTTATGGTTTAGATAAAAAGGGTCCCCAAAGCCTTATGTGATCAGACGTGGGACTTTTTGAAGGTGATTAGATCATCAGGGTGCTATCCTTATCAATGGATTAATACACTGATAAATCCATAGCTGAATGTTAGAAGGTGGGGCCTCGTTAAAAGATGAGGATTATTGGGGGTGTGATCTGGAATAGCATGTCTCCTTCTCCAGCTCCTGCCTTTGCTCTCTACTTCCTGACCACAGTGAGGTGAGCAGCTTTCCTCCACCTTACCCTTCAACCATACCCTTCCTGCTTTTGAGTCAGCCAACTATGTATAGAGACCTCTAAAAACTGTGAGCCAAAATAAACTTCTCCTCTTTAGTTCCAGATGTTTAGTATTGTATATAACTGATGAGAAATGACCAAGACAGATTTTGGTGCCAGAGAAGTGCAGCTGTTACTGAACCTGACCATGTGGTTTAGAGCCTTTGTAACTGGCTCACAGGAGTGTGGAAAGGTTTGGAGATGCTGGCTTGAGAATCCTTAGAATGCTTAAATTGACCTTGATGGGAGATTCTGATCAGAACTTAGAAACTTGAATGTTGATAAAAATGTGCATAGTAAAGGCCAGGCTCAGGAGGTTTCAGTTTGGAACAAGGTTTCCATTGGCAATTGGACTCAAGGCCACATGTGTTATGCTCCAGCAGAAAATTTGTCTTCATTTTTCTCATATGCTGAGACTTTGAGGGAGACTAAGATTAAGGATAGAAGGCTAATTAATCAAGCGGCGGAAACTTCAAAGCATACCACATTCAGACTGTGGCATGGATATTGCTTGCTGCTTTTAGCCAGGTTCATAGTGAGAATCAGGAGCAAAAGTTAGAGCCAAAGATGTAAAAAGTGTGCAGTTTCAACAAAATGGAAGTGCCTACAAATCTGTGGCCATGGAAAGCATGTTTGCTGAAGAGATTAGCATTAAAAAAGAGCTAAGTACTTTGCATCAGGACCATAGGAAAGATGTCTTGAGTGCATCTCAGGAATCAGCAACATCCCCATTTCATTGGCTCAAAGGTAAGAAAGAGTAAAAGGAAACTCCTTTGAAAAACTTTGCTTTAGGAAGAGAGCCCCATGGTAACTAGCTTGACAATGATCACTTAGGGAATTATTTCCCTAGGACTCAATTCATAGTAGCCATCAGAGGCTGCTGCAGCCATCATCCAAGGGGACCCAAGGACTGATCAAGCTGGTACAGACATTGGCATAATTCATGTGGTTCTGGTTTTTCAGAGATGCAGAATGCAAGAGTTATGGAAGAATATATGCTTCTACCCAGATTTCAGAAGAGCGTCTTGAAGGTGAGACAGGGTGCCCCGATAGACCAATGCATAAAGCTGTGAGGCTGAAAGTGCAGTGAAGTCTCTAGAAAGTTGGAGAAATCAGGAATGTGCAATGTCTCCTGAAGAAAGCCACAGGAAATGGACAAAGTGAGCCCAAGGCAGAGGCCAGGAGGTTTGCAATCAGCACATTGTAGAGGTGGGGCTGTCCAAGCCTTTTGGAGCATATATCTCACCACAGCTTGCCGTTGGTATTAGACATGGAACTACACAATTCAGTGTCTGCCCTGTTGGGTTTTAGTCTTACTCTTGTTTCATTTTCTTTCTATCTTCCTTTCTTCTTTTTGGAAGGGAAATGTTTATCCTGTGCCATTGTATGTTGTCAGCATTTAACTTTCTATTTGATTTTTATAGGGGCTCATAGCTAAGAATATGCCTTGACTGAGTCTCAGAGGAGACCTTGGATTTGGACTTTTGCCAATGCTGGAACTGTTAAAATTTGATAATTCTTAGAGATGGACTAAAATCATTTTTGCATTAAGAGATAAATATGAGTCTTTAAGAGGTGGTTTTTTGTCATATATTGTTCTTACCAATTTGTGGGAGATCACCTTATTGTTTATGCCCAAAGCAGGCTGTAAGCAGTACAAGCTGTAAAGGGTTAACCCTGAAAATGGCTTGTTTATAGAAGTGAGTCTGGCTGAAACCTACATGGCAAGGTCAGAGTGACTCTTACCCAAATTCTTTTCCCAGGGTTAAAACCTTCTTTACTAAAAAGACAAGGTTAATTATTAATCACAACCTATATTTTGTCTGTTCTATTCCTAATTCAAGAATGCTTTGTCTTTTCCTATACAAGCTTTTCCTGCATCGGCAATATATTCATAGCAACTCCATGTAGTCTCTTCACATAGCCCCTTTACTCCAATCTAACTGAGATGTCACCAATAAATATTGACAACTTTGGATGTTCAGGGCTTTTGCTTGTTCAAGCCTCTGACTGTTCAAGCCTGGTCATCCCAGTCTCCCCATATCTGTCTCTTTACCTCTGTCTCTATGTCTTTCTTCTCAGCATGCATCATAGTACTGAGCAGGAGGTTGGAACCTACTGTAGTGGGCTCTAACTCATTTAGGTGGGAACAAGCATGATAGGAAAGAATTTAGCAAATCCAAGATCAACTTTGCACATTCTTATTAGTTGATCATTTACTGGTACCTACAAAAGTTCTCATTTGCTTCCCTACAGTTTTATGTATAAAGTAGATGAAAATAACTCTATCCACTTAACTGACTGGCATCTGGCAAACAATTATTTTTTATCTTTCTTGTATATCTGTGCCTATGTCTTTAAAAAAAAAAATAGGACATTGCCATTTAGTCCCTTGCTGGTTTTGAACTTACTATGTCATCCAAGCTGCCTCAAACTAATGATCTTCCTGTTTCAGATTCCTGAGTGCTGGAATTATAAGGTGTGTAATGCAGGATCATCTTAGAGATCATTTTAGATTGATCTTGAAGGTATCCATCTACCTCCAAGAGGGTCTGGTGGTCCCCTCTAGCCTACAGATGGGTCAATACTAGGATAAGAGACTAGTGCAATGTGGCGGGAGAAATAGGCTAAAGTCAAGACCATAAATTGGGTATTGCAAAGACTAAGGTTGAATCCTAGCTCTACCATATACTGATCAAGGGATGTTCCCATACTTTTAAAGACTATATTGAACTTCAGTTTTCTTATTATCAAAATTAAAGTAGTAATATCCCTCTCAAAGTATTGTTATGAATAGTAAATAGAGATAATGCATATGGAATCTATTAACTACCATCTAAAACTAATGTAGTAATGTGGTTACTAGAACTTTGAGCTAAAACTTAAGCACAGCCATTAAATAAACGAAACAGTTCTGTATTCAGGAATTACCTTTAAATCTAAGCCAAAATTGTAACAACTTCTGGGACTCAAGGGTGAGGAAATAGCATTTGTATTAACAAAACCCTTAAGTGTATGGATAAGTACCCTGCTAGTATTCATTTTCATGCTAAGAGTAGAATGTCATGTTTTCTATCAGGCAGAAGAGATGGTTTCTTCGTCTGATTATTATTCATAGTATGATGATTATTCATAAAATAATCATAACTGAAAATTATAATCACTGCTGAAATGACATCCTTGCTCTTGTTTCTTCCCTCTACCATTTTTTCCAAATAATGCCCTCAAATTATCTTAGTAAGGCACAACTTTATATTTCACTATCTTGTTTTTAGTTCATCAACTAAGTCTGAATTTCATATCCTGAGTTTCAGGCAAATGGAACATTCAGTTTCCTGTGCACACACTGTTCTGTTGTCTGATTTGCCTCTGCCCAGGCAGATAAAACAACAACTACAACAAAAATGTTAGCAAAGTTTGAAAGATACTGAGTAACACAAAGGCTCTCTTTTTTTGGTCTGTCCAGCACCTTCTTTTATTCTCCTCTTTGGTGAAGACTTCCAGATCTGGATACCAAAAAGCTGGCAATTAACAGCTCTGTATCTGACACCCAGCAAAAAAAGTAAGCATGTGACTTAGGCTGGACCAATCATCATCTGCCTCTCAACCCTCTGGAAACAAAAGGTGACTCAGGAATGGGCATGTGACTTTCACCAGAGCCAATCAGATGACAGTTTTAAGATATATAACATATATGATGTCTATATTTGAAGTATATAATAGGTATCTTTTTCCTAGAGTTGAGAAGAAAAATAATCAGGGGCTTCCTAGATCAATTGCCCAGTCTCACTGGCCTCAAGTCTGTTGATACTAGAGGAGAATAAAAACAGTAACTTCATGAGAAAAATGGAGAGCACCTCCATATTCAATCATCTCAGAAACAATATACATCCTCAGATCTCTCATTCAGTTATAGGAGGCAATATTTTCCCTTATTCCAAAGTAGTTTGAATTTAGTTTCTGTACTTATTAGAAAACATTCCAAGTAATACAAATCTGGTCAAAACTTAAACAATTTTATCAAATACTGCAGAGTTGAAAGATGCAGGTCCTGAGGAAGGGCCACAAATTACACATTTAGTAGTCACTTGAGACTTCTGTAGTGCTGCTGCAGTTAGTGCATGGGTAGGATGCACATAGCTGGGAGTAAAGAAGTGTGTATCTATGGAGGGAAATGGAAGCAACTGAGGACAGTAAGAGTCAGTTCAGAAATTAGAGGGAAAAATGAGTTGAAAGTAAGGGTTTTTTTCTGTTTTGGTTTTAAAGACTGAGATTTGTGTGAATAGCTAGGCAAATAGTAATGGTTCAATAATGAAAAAGAGAAAATGAAAATAAATTAAATAATTGAAGGTATAATGCCCTGAAAAAGTTAGGAGAAATGATTAAAAGCATAAGTAAACATTTGACTTTGGAAAAGAGAGCGGTTATCTCTGCCATGGGAAAGAAGAGAGAGATTGATTCGAGATTTGGATATAAAGATAAAAGTTCACAACTGAGCCCTTGAATTTTGTTCAGTGTGAACTCTCTTGTGGACTCATTTTATTTCTAGGTTTTCTGATTAACTTTTTCTCATTGAGAGTAGACTGAAATATTGAAATTACAATCTCTGAACCATATATATCATTTTCAAAGGGCAAAGAGGTTATTTACATTTTCTCTCACACTTTCACCCTTAGGTTTTGTGTATAATATTGTAGATTCCTTATGCCTTTGGAATGGACCAGAATTACAAAGTATTATAGTAGCAAACTGAGTGGATCATGATTATTCTAATGAAATTGAATTGAGCATATATAAAGAGATTATTTTTAATACATAAAATTAAATTTATAAGAAGAATGTAATAGAATAAAGACTAATTTTCTGAGTAGGACCATATCTTTAAGTATATAATTTATAAAAGTGAAGGCTTAAAGACATAAGGCTTTGCATAATTTCCACTTGAGTAAAATCCAAATGCAGCTCAAAGCTGGCCTGTAAAATTCTTGTGTATTGAGTGGAAATTTCTATTCAGAATTCTCAGTACTTTTACAATTAAAGTACCATGAATCTCTGTACTTTACATGGTGTGGTTATATGTTAACCTTTTTAAGTAGGTTTTCCTTTACTATCATAGGTTTAGCAGATCATATTGTATCATGTAGTTTTTCATATTTTTCATCTAATACATATTTTAGAATTAACCGAACATCAGATGACATATTTGATGAATTTATATTTTTCTCAAACCTCTTCACATCATGGTTTCTTAGAAATGTCAAGAAATCTGATTTCTTAGGGGATTCATATAAAAAAATTACCCTAATGGGAAATTTCCAAGATGTGATCTATTTCAGGTGAGAGAATACTTTCCATTAGACAGATCTAAGTTTGGATTCTTTCTCCATAGTTCGTACTTAAGTAGTCTAGACAAGATTTCCATCCTTCATCCCACTTGTAAAATAGGAATACTAATTCTGCCCTCCTCATAGAAATCTAAGGAGATAATGCCTGTATAGCAGACAACATGAGGCCTGACACAGAACAACTGCTTAAGAAATGCTGTCCCTATTACTGTTGCTTGATACTAATGAGGATATAATTAAGAGACAGGTTTGGGAGAGAAGAAAGAAGACTTTCAACATAAATTTATGGCATTTCAGGAGCACATGGTAAGAATTTTGAATGGTATTTAATGAGGTGAGAATTAAGGCTGATGAAGTTGAATTGATTATGGAAAGAAAAGGAGAATCTTTCCATTTTTGGGTTTGCATATGTCTGCTTACGTTGCCCTGCCTGTCCCCATAAAAGGTGTGTGTGTATTTCACAATTTCATATCATACAAGCATGGCATAGCACTTGTATTAAAATTTATATACATTTGCCTTTTAGAGTAAAGCTATGATGTTTTATATCCAGCTAAGTTATAACTAAAGTCTCGCTCTCTCTCTCTCTCTCTCTCTCTCTCCCCTGCCCCCCTGGTACCTGGGTCTATGAACATTATACATTTCTCACATTTTAAGGAAAAGCTTAATTATTTAGGAATAACCCCGTTTTTGCTTTCAAATCCCTTGCCTTTTTAATTATACATAATTTTGGCTCTGCGTTAGATTTGAGTTCTGTTCATTGTCCTCTGAATTTTCCCGTAGAGGTCAGGTCCTGCAAGGGACCACAATATTGATTATGCCCAAAGCAGGCTGTTAACCCCACAATTGGCTTCTTTTGAGAAGTGAGTCTGGCTGAAGCCTACATGCTGAGGTCAGAGTAACTCACCCGAATTCCATTCAAAACAATTAAAACTTTCTTAACTAGAAGGACAGTGATCTAATTACAACCATATATTTTGTCTATTCTGTTCCTAATTCAAGAATGCTTTGTTTTGTCCTATTTAAGGCTTGTTTACATTAATTTCCATAGAAACTGCATGACTGTGTGTCCTTGCACATAATACCGCCCTTGTATATAGCTCACCTTTGCCCCAGTTGATTAACAACAAAAATCAGGGGCTTGGACTGACCAGCGCCTTTGTCAGTTGTATCACATTGGTCATCCTAACATCCTACTTTCTGTCTCTCTGTCTTTCTGTCTGGCATCCCTCTTCTGTGTTTTAGTTTTTTTCCTCAGGCCTGCGTCATACATTTGGCAGGAGACTGGAGTCAACTGCAGAGGTTTCCAGTAATGTTTTAGAAGTCCCCAGAAAGTTCCTAAAACTTGACATTTGGTTCAGGGTACAATATTTCTAACAATGTATATCAGAATGTACCTATCCTACACTCTGGAAATAGCCCATGTGCTTCAACTTAGACTGAACTTGACCTTGGGTACAGAAATCAAAACTCACCTGTGCAGAGGGAGTGGCTTCTTGCAAATTATTTATAGATCTTTCTGGCCGGGCTTTCATTTGTTCATAGCAGTCTTCATCTATCGGTTCTTGAGATTTGAAAAGATTGTGATTTACAATGGCATGAATAAAAGTACACAATCCAAATAACATTTAGTTGTAAATAAGAATCCCTTATGATCATGCTAGTCTTATTGGTAGAGATATTGATGAGGTTATGGAAGCACAAACTGTTACCTTCAGATCTGACATTGAAGTCTTTCTCTTCACAGGATTAATAATACAAAAAGAAATCCTTAGGATAAGGATAGAGCATATTAAGTTTTTTACACTGTTGCAGAATATGATAGTCCCATTTTAAACTACCATTTAGAAGCCCTGAGTTACAGGATTTCCATATTCTTTGCTATTTAGGTATGATTGCAAACAGCGCATGGTGGAATAAAGCACAATGATAATATAACAGTGGCAACAATTTTGTAATTTCTATGATGAAAGAAGTTTTACTAGGAAGCATTTAAAACTCAACATTCTAAGTTCAAAAATTAAGGTTTAAATTATGATTTTTGCATCATCAATCAGTGACAGAACAGATCACCTAGGCTATCTTAAGGGACTGTAAAATGCTGGTCCCAGCATTTGGAGCTTTTGTACGTTATCTAGAAGCCAGCAGACCTGCAATCATCTCATCCTGTGGGGATATGTTTATTGAATCATTCATACTTTTCTTCCCCTAGATATGTCCCTAGATAGGCTCAGTTAGAATGGCTGGTAAGCTGACCGAAATATGGAATACACGAACTTGACCTCAGAGAGAGAAAAAAATATTATTTTTAATAACAAAAGGTGCCTAAATAATCTTTTAATCCTTTTGGTAAAGCAGCTTTTTCTTTTTCTTTTGGGATATAGAAAATCTGCATCACAGAAGATCATCAAGAAGATCATACACCCAGATCAAGTGGGATTCATCCCAGGGATGTAGGGATGGTTCAATATATGAAAATCA